TCTCTGCTAGGATTACAAGCATGTGCCACCCGGCCCTGCTTCTAACTCTTGCTTTCAACCTTCCTCCTCTGCCTGTCACATCCCAGCCCTTCAAGAGAAAGGATACAGGGTCCCATTTGGGGAACCAGGATCAGTAGCCCAGTGATAGTGTCTTGTTCATCTCCTTTCATAAAATTTCCATTTTCCAGCCAGGCATTGGTGGCGCACGCCTTTAGTCCCAGCACTAGGGAGGCAGAGGCAGGCGGATCTCTGTGAGTTTGAGGCCAGCCTGGTCTACAGAGCTAGTTCGAGGACAGGCTCCAAAGCAATATAGAGAAACCCTTTCTCGAAAAATCACAGAAAGAAAAAAAGATTTCCATTTTCCTCTTGTGAACTATGGTTGTAGGAACCACCAATGCACATGTAAGCATGAAGACCTGAGTTCAAATCTCCAGCACCCACATATATGGGAGGGAGGGTGGCCCATCTCTAATTCCAGCTCTTGGGGAGTAAAGACGGGGTTCCCTGAGGCAAGTGCTGAGTTGGAAGACCCACAGAGCGTGAGCCTTCACACTTCACTCAGGGGAGGCGACACCCCAAATCACTCACAAGAAGCGGTCTTGATGCAAACAGCATGAGGACGTTTTTATTCCAAGTGCACTGGGGTCCATAGTTATATGCCACGCAGGGATAGAGGACTGAGGACCCCAAGAATTGAGACAGCTTTTATAGGGTTTACAACAAAGCCTGCGCGTCTTAAACCAATCATCTCGTAGCATCCAGAGCCTGCGCGGTGCGGACCAATCAATTTAAACCATTTTATAGTTTTTAGATCAATCATTTTAAATCATCCAAGCCAGTGCTTTATAGACCAATCAATTTCCTATAGCCCCTGAGGTCTGCATTTTTGCGGGCTCCTAGGTGGGGTGACAAATGGCAGTTAGGGTAGGTCACTGGGGCTGGGGTTTCACAAGCAGTTTACGAAGTCAGATAAGCGGCAAGGAGTGTGACCTTTCACCTATGTACTGGTAGAGGACAGGGTCTGGAATTTGAGGTATTTAGGGTTTTTTTGATAGTATTTTTAAACTTCTAGCTTCCTGGGGTCATTGGAGAGTTAGGCTGTATTTTCCATCCTGTCAGAGTCAGTGAGTTCTGAGTACAGTGAGGAGCCCTGCCTCAGTATAAAAGATGGAGGGTGAATGAGAAAGACACTACCAACCTCGGGACTCTGAAGGCACACATGCACGAATGTACATGTGCACACATACACATGGGTACAAAAACATGCATACACGACACAAACATATACATATGCAAAAACAAAACAAAACCAGGGTTGGGAATCCCACCCACTCCCCTAAATAGACTATGAAGACAGAGTGGGTGGTATTTTAAGGCCTTGGAAAACCCCTCTAGAGGGTGTTAGTAATCTGGGATGCACCATCCACTTCAAGACCTCCCACTGATGACCTTTTGCCAACTCACTGGGGTTACAACATGAGGCTCTGAGGGCCTCTGCCCTGCCCATGCACTTCTCTCCCCAGAAATTCATGATTTTCCACGTCCTCTTCCTGTCACCCAGAGTGACAATTGGGTTTGCCCCTCAGAATTGCTAAGCAAGGCTGGGGGGGGATGCTAGAAAATACAATAAGGTGTGTGTGTGTGTGTGTGTGTGTGTGTGCACCCGCGCGCGCACGCTAGGAGATGGGTTAGAGGGTAAAGCACTTGCTATCCAAACAAACCTGAGTTCCATCCTGGAACCTAGGCAAAGGCAGACTGAGAGAACGGGTCTCACAAAATTATCCTTCGACCTCTTTATGTCCCTACCTCCAGCAAGTACACACATCAAGCAATCAATTTTTTTTAAAGCTGGGCTTTAGCAGTGAGAGCTTCTAACCCCAGCGCTGGAGCAGACAGAAAGTGAGATCCCTGAAGTTCATTGGTCAATCAGTCTAGTCAAATCAATGACCTCCAGGATCTTTGAGAAATCCTGTCTCCAAAACTATGGTGGACTGAAGCTGCAGAGATGTTCAGTTGAGAAGTGTTCCTCCTTTTCTTTCGGAGAACTCCTGTTGGGTTCCTAGCGTCCAAGCTGGGCTGCTCACAATGGCCTCTAACTCCACCTCTAGGTGTTCTGACTCTTCTGGTCTCTGATGGTACCTGCACTTGCACACACACACACACACAATCTAAATTAAAGAAATCCAAATAAATAAATATATGTGGAGAGAAATACGGGAAACATACTCAACATCCACCTCTCTGACTTCCACACGCGTGTTCACTCACTGGATTGCACTCTCATGTTCATGTACCTGCTCTGGTCTGAGGCTCCAAATCAACCCAAGCAGACACAAGAGGTTACCACACTACAAGATTTAATGCAGGGCAGCGCAAAAGAGGGGGTGGGGCTGATTGATCAGGAACGCAGAACTGACTTGCTGAACTGTGATCCCCGAGTGCCAGCTGAAGCAAGTATTTAAGCACAAAAGCCACAAACATTTGTTGCGAAGTTAGTTACAGTTTTTTTTGTCAATCAGAAATCAAAGATTTGGGGCTTTCCTTAAGTGTTCCATGATCATCAATCGACATATAGTGCAAGCATTTCAGTCCAACCAATTGGATTCCTTTGTTCTTTCTGTTGTTGGGAACCCCCATAATGTTTCTAGAGAACTAACGAAGTGTAAGGACTATTTCTACAGGTTAAGGAGGAGGCGGGTCAAGGTGGGTCAGCTATTGGAAGGTTCCCAGCTCCCCTAGGGCCTGAGAACCTGAATTCAGTTTCACCCTACAGGTGAAATGGAGTCTGAAGTTAGAATGGCAGCACTTAGGGCAACGTGCTTTTTGCCTGTTTCCAACAGTACATACACAGCACACACATATATCACACGGTATACAGAGACAGAAAGGTAACAATCAAAGTAGATCTCAGGCATTCTAGTTGCTGCCCTGCCCATTTATCTCTTATCTCTACTCAATAAATCATTTTTTCCTATCCAAAACAGAAGGAAAATAAATGCTTTAAGAGCCAGCCAGCCATAGACACACACACCTAACTAAATTACTAATGAAATATAATAATAACTGTTTAAAAGCTGTGGCTGGAGAAATGGCTTAGCAGGTAACAGGGCTTCTGGCTCTTCCAGAGAACCTGAGTTCCGTTTCCATTTCTTTGATAACTCCACTTTCTGTTATAACTCTAGTTCCAGGGGGTCTGATGCCATCTTGTGGCATCCCTAGGCATCTACATACAACACACACACACACACACACACACACACACACACACACACACACACCATACACCCTGAGTAAGTACATAATGGGTGTTTTTAAAAATCTGGGCACAGGACTAGGGACTTGATGGGCAACTGGGAGCCCTGAGTCCCTTGTACTCACAGAGAAGCACTAAGAGAACCAGGAATGTTAATCCCACATGGGTGCCTCCTCAATAGAGATAAAAACCAAATACCTGCATTCCATCCAGAAATCTGGGACTGGATTTTGTTAATGACCTGATGACCTTTTTGTCGTCTGTGTAGGCAGACCTCACCCCCCTTTTGCTATGGAGGCAGACCTCACTCAAATCCCCGAGAGTGGTTATCCCAGACTCTCCCCTCGCTAGGTCATTACCATCCTTAGGGACATGTCACATGTACCTTATGTCCTGCTGACCTCTATGCTATTGGTCTGAAGCCACACTAGATTCTAGGACTTCCAGCTACAGAACCCACCCTCATGGTCACATGTAAAACAGTCTGTCTATGTAGACACACCTTAAGCTTCATTGTGCACCTGGAATTAGACTGATGGTTGCCTGGAAACCTTTCCCCAAATTTTACTGGGTTTTAAATATGCTGGCAATGAACCATGGGACATTAGACCCCCGAATTCTGATCCGGGTTGACAAAAAAAAGCACCACGTTTTCATTCTCATCTCTTCATTCAGTTTGCTTCCCTGTCTGGCACCTGAAGAGCCTCCCTGCTCATAGAAATGAAGCATTTATCTCTAGACTCATCCACCACAACACATGTTCAATAAATGTTTGATGGGTAGAGAAACCCTGTCTTGAAATAATCCTTAAAAATTTGATGGAGGAATAAATGAATAGGTGAATGAACATGTGGGTGGGCAGGTGAATGGATTGCTGGGACACTGGACGAACGGATGGGTGTGAGGATGGACGGATGGATAAATATATGTATGGGTGACAGATGGATGTATAATAGGGGTACTAGTAGTTATCTAGAGGATGACCAAATTTGTTTACCTACACGAACAAAAAAAAAAAATTGAATTTCTGGGAAAGACAGAAAAATCAAGCCATAGAGAAAAAGAGCAACCACTTTATCCCTTCAGGGTGTGAGGGCCCTAAGGTTCAGAGACCTTAAATGGATGCTGGCTTGAGTGTTTTATAGGGTTACAGGGTCCTCCTCTTGCCACCATCGGTCCTGTTTAATTACTCACCCCTGTGTCTTCCCACCATTTATCCTCCCAATGCCTTCTGGGAACAAACCATCATCTCAGGGAGCCTGCTTTTGCCCCTCTAAGTTTCCTTTGGATGGACAGGTGGATGGTCAGATAGACTGATGGATGGATAGACAGATGGGTGGAAAGATAGGTCAATGGATGGATGGACAGATAGACTGATGGATAGATGAACAGATGTAAGGGTGATGCTACCTATTGTGCATCTACAAAAACAAAGGCTTAGAACAAAGTAACTTTCCCAGGGTCCCACATGATAAGCAGCAGAACCAAGTCATCTGAAACATTTGCCCCCACCCTTGGCCCAGGCAAGATGGCAGCCTGCCCCAGCTAGAGCCTTGCTAGAGCCCCAAATCATCCCTGACTCAGCTGGACAAGAAATGAACATCAACTTCCCCCTTTTCTAGACCACGGAATGCTCATGATTTTCGAGGAAGCCTGTGGTGGAGAGAGAGGGAGGGACTCCAGTGCGTGTATCTCCTGAGCTGGTCATAAAAAGGTCAGTTGGAGGGAGGTTGGGGTATTTTCTCCAGTCCCTCTTTCCTGCACCCCAGCTTTGACCTCTGAGCCGAGGCCTCTAATCTCCAAGACATGGCAAGCCCAACCACCATCGTCGCCAGTCTTCTACTCCTGGTAGCTTGCACGTGCTGCATCTGCCCTACAGGTGAGATTTCTGGGCTCAGCCTGGGGCTACTGGTAGCAAAAGCTTCTAAGTTTTTGTATTAATATGTTCCCCAATGGACACAATGGAGGGTGAGGGAACCCAGCAGCCGAAGGCTGGGGGAGGCACTAAGTGGCCTGGAGTATGACTGTAGCTAAGAAAGAGCCTATGGCAGGCTGAATGCTGACACAGAACTTTTCTTCCTCCTTTTAGACTCTGTGATCATCCCCTTTTCTTGCTGCATGTCCTTTATTACCAAGGAAATCCCAGGAAACCAAGTGGTTAGCTACCAGTTGGCCAATAGCAGCATCTGCCCCAAGACGGGAGTAATGTGAGTATCTATCCCAGGATCTCCAGGGTTCCTGAGGAAGTTCAGCCATGGGCATCTTTGAAAGTGGACTAAACTTCTCTGGACTTCAGTTTCCCCACCCATAAAACCAGGAGGAAACAGAGGCAGGGTGATGGTAGATGCCAGTAATTCCAGTACTCAGAAGGCTGAGAACATCCATGAAGTACGAAATGCAGGCAAGGCATTGTGCTTGGAGGGAAATACATGCTATGACATTATCCTAACTATCTTAACAATTCCACGAGGCCATACTAGAAAGCTTGCCTAGAGCACCTGCCTAGAATCCCCCAGTGAGGGGCTGGGGGTGTGGCTCAGTGGTAGTGTGCTTTCCTAGCAAGCACAAAGCCCAGAATGGTAAAAACAAAAACCATCTTACAGAGAACATAATACTTTCCCCTTTTACTGAAAGAAGTTGAGGCTCAAGGTCACATGACCAACCAGACCTTTAGATTCCAAATAACTTCAGAGCCCCTGGGGTAACAAGCATTGCCTCATGTCTCAAGCAATGGTGCACAGTGGGAATGGTGTGTTAATATGTTCCCCAGCTGGCATCAGCTTGGTTCTGACAGCAAGCATGTAAGGGAACATCCCAGAGTGGTCCCCCTCAGCTATAACATGTCCAGGAGCCATGTTTCCATGCATAGTGTGAGTGGGTAACATTTGCCTTTAAAAGTGTGTGATTGTGTACATGCACATATGTGTGTAAATATACATGTGTGTGTGCATGGAGGTCAGAGGCCAATCTTAGATGTCATCCTCAAGTATGCCATGCACCTCTTTCAAGATAAGGGTCTTTTTTTAAAAAAAAAAATGCACGTTAAGATTTGTGTGTTTGTGTGCGTGTGTGTGATCACACACACAGGCACAAATGCCACGGCACAAGTGTGGGGATCGGAGTACAACTTGTGGAAGCCAGTTCTCTCATTCTGCCCTGTGGGTCCTAGGGGTAGAACTCAGGTCATCAGGCTTGGCGGGGGCATTTTTACCTTCTGAGCCATCTCTCTGGCTTTCTCACTAGCCTGGAACTCATCAAGTAGGCTAGCTGCCAGCCAAGCCCCAGGGATCCACCTGTCTCTGCCTCCCCAGTGCTGGGCTTACAAGAACATGATACTCTGCCTAGATTATTTTTTTTTTAAAGTGGGTTCTGAGGGTTGAACTTGGATTCTCACAGTTGCAAGGCAGATTTTTTTTTTTAACCAACTGAGCTGCCTTCTTGGCTCAGTTTCCTCAGTCTAGATAGAGACCACATCTTCTGTTACTCCTAGCATAACTCAAAAGCAGGGCTTCCTCTGTCTCAAAAGAAGGCCATAGTATGAGTGTGGCATCCCACATTCCACGATCCTCCTGCCCCTCCCTGCTGTGTGGTAAAAACCCAGAATGCATAGAGAGACTTCGTAGTGCCAAGTATGAGCAGCCGAGACTCCTGGTCCCCCATGCTCACTTCCTCATGAAGGGAGAATAGATCACTCCCAGCACCTTGCCAGACCTCAAACTAAACCCTTGCTGCTTTCCCCCACAGCTTCATCACCAAGAGGGGCCATAAGTTCTGCAGTGACCCCAAGTTGCCATGGGTCCAGAGGCACATACGGAACCTGGATGCCAAGAGAAAGCAACCTTCGGCAGCTGCCAAGGCACCTAGCGCCAGGTTTCCCATCCAGAGACACCGTGGCAACAGCACTGGGATTTAATCGCCTCTCCTCTGTCCCTGAACTTGGACAACGGTCTTGACTCCTTGACAGGCTGCTGGGCTCGGCACACCAGCTGGGATGAGGCCTGAGTTCATTTTGCCATTCTCAGCATTTCTTTTAGGGAATGTATTTATATTTTGTGATAACCCGAGGAAGCGCAAAGCGTGCCAGAGTTCTGGTGTTTCCTGTGCTGAGTAAGAAGGATCTAGAAGAATGACATTAGTCATTCTGTGTTCTCTTGTGTGGCTTGAAGGTGTCATCAGAGTCCAGGTCATAAAACCAGAGTACCTGCAGGTGTACCTTGTTTGCAGCTGGCTTCAATGGGGTCCTTGTCTTAGGGTGGGGCCCAAGCTGTCTGTCCACCGGTGGGTGAAGCTCTGTCAACAGTAGTAACTCCCATGTTTTGGGGATACTGGATCCAGGATGGTCCCATCTCAGAACTTTGAATAATAATAACAACAACAACAACAACAATAATAATAATATTAATAATAAACTCAACTGAAATGGAGGATCCAATGGCAGCATCTTTAAACTCATCAGCTTTTATAAAGAAGGGGATGGAGGGGGCTGGGAAAGTAGCTCAGATGGTGGAGTGTTTGCCTAGCATGCACAGGACATTGTGTTTCAACCATAGAATTGCATGTCTGTAATCCTAGCATCTAGGCAAGAAGATCAGAATTTCAAGGTTAGCCAGGCATGGTGACGCACACCTTTAGTCCCAGAATTCAGGAGGCAGAGACAGGTGGATCTCTGAATTTGAGGCCAGCCTGGTCTACATTCCTGAACTCCAGGACAGCCATGGCTACATAGGAAAATCTTCCCTCAAACTGCCCCCCCCCAAAAAAAGAAGTTCAAGGCTATCCTTAGCTACATAGTGAATTTGAGGTTGGCTTAGGCTACATGAGACTTTGTCAGGGAGGAATCAAGGAAGGAAGGAAACAATCAGGGAAGGAAGGGAGGGAGGAAGGAAGGAAATGAAGGGTAGGGGAGAGAAAGGGGAAAGCATACAGCTGAGCATGATAGCACACACCTATAAACCCAGTACTCAGGAGACTGAGACCAGCCTGGGCACATAGCAAGACTTTACCGAAAGAAAGGAAGGAAGGAAGGAAGAAAGAAAGAGAAAAAAAGATGGAAAATATGTAGTTTTATTTTTTAAAAGGCAGGTGAGTCTCTGAGTTTGAGGCCAGTTTGGTCTACAGAGTGAGTTCTAGGACAGCCAGGACTACACAGAGAAACCCTGTCTCAAAAAAATATCTAAAGGCCAGGATAAGGGTTCAGTTCCACTTGGTGATGTGGTTTGCTCCTTGCTGCTATGGGGGACAAGAAGTTGCTATGAGTGTGGGAGAGGCAGCTCAGCAGTTAAGAGCACTGGCTGCTCTTCCAGAGGACCTGCGTTTAATTCCTAGCAACCACATGGTGGCTCACAATATAATGAGATCTGGTGCCCTCTTCTGGCCTGCAGGCACACATGCAGGCAGAACACTATGCATAGTAACAAACAAATTAAAATATATATATAAAGTTACTGTGCCTTTAACACTGGGCTCTCTCTACATTTTGGTGAAGGGAAGATAAAGTGGAAAGAGTTACCCCAAGGTGTTTTCCTTATTACTATGTGAGATACATTGGGTACAGCACTGTATCCAAGGATAAGCCAAGGAAAATGTGACTTCTGTTGTGGTGGCTGTTCCTCCCTGTCACCAACTCTCTGCAGAACATGAGAGGCTCCTGGGTAACAAATCCAGGGCTGGGAGGGGACTTAGAGATCAGAGTATCCTGCCAAGATCTTGGGCTTCCTTAGGAACCCTGGAGTAAAGATCAGAAGGCCTTGAGATGCAGCTCAGTGGTAGAGCACCTGACCAGAGTCCCCCTGTGAGGGGCTGGGGTGTGGCTCAATGGCAAAACACCTGCCTAGGATCCCCCAGTGTGGACTGAGGGCATAAGCCACTCAAGAGCCCAACAAAAGTTATATGGTTAGACCAAAGACTCAGGAAGTTTCAGAGAATCTAGGATCTCTGTATAAAAAAGGTTCCTTACATCCATCTCTTGGGAAATTCTTGAAGTTGCATTCAGAAACTGGGTTCAGAGATCATATACATTCATACATACATAGATCTTCTTATGGTCCACCTTTATTATTGCAACATAATATTTTAATGATTATTTGGAAATTAAATAAAATACTTCCCATCCCTCTCAGGCCCACCCTCCCACCCATGTGCCCTCTCCCCATAGTCCATCTTTAATATGGTACATAATTTTTCTCTTTCAAACCTGGACATTGTTGTGCCTAGAGCCTTGCACATGCATACATTCTCTACCACTGAGCTATTCCCCCAGTCTCTCTTATTGCGTCGTTCTAAACTTTGACCTCACAAAGTTTCCCACAGTGACCTTGAACTTGGGATTCTCCTGCTTCCATATCCCCAGGATAAGTCTGTGCTCAGGGCTGGATAACATATTAACCTCTTTGGATATCAGTTTTGCTCATCTGCAAAATGGGACAAGAACATTTAACTTTGGCTGTTTCCCCGAAAGTCAGATGTAATATCACAGGTGGGGTGGAGTACAGTGGCCCAGGGAGCATCAGCAGCAGAATAGGTCAGGGTTGGGTGCACGGCTCAGCCGGTGAAGCGCTTGTTGAGTTCAATCCAAGAACTCACATAAAAATCCCGGCACAGTAGCATAAGCCTGCAATCCCAGCACTGGGGAGGTAGAAACAATGGACCCTAGGAATCACTAGCCAGGCAGCCTAACCTGCTGTCAATTTCCAGATTCAGGAAGAGACTCTGCATTAAAAAAAAAAAAAAAAGGTGTTGGGAGCTGGGAGCGGGTAGTGGGGAGATGGCCCAGTGGTAAGTGTGCTTGCTGTTCAAGCATGAGGACCTGTGGTCCTTTGAATGAATGAAAATGGTCCCCATAGGCTCATAGGGAGTGGGGAGGCGTGGCCTTGTTGGAGGAAGTGTGTCATTAGGGGTGGGCTTTGTGGTTACAGAAGCTTAAGCCAGACCATGCTGCCTGCAGACCCAGATGAAGAACTCTCAGCCACCTCTCCAGGACCATGCCTTCCTGTGTGCTGCCATGCTTCCTGTCATGGTAATAATGCACTAAACCTCTGGACGGTAAGCCGGTCCCAATTAAATGTTTTCCTTTATAAGAGTTGCTGTGGTCTCTTCATAGTAATAGAAACCCTAAGACAGGACCCGAGACTAAATTCCACATACAAATTCCAGCACCCACATAAACCAAGCATGGTGGGAGCGCCTGTAGCCTCTGCTGGAGCCGTGGCAGGCTGGTCATGGAGCCGACTGACCAGAAAGCTATTCTAGGTGCAAGGGTGAGCTTCAGTGAGAGATCCTATTTGAAGTGAATAAGATAAAGAAAAGAAAGGAACTCCTCTAGCTTCTGTGTATTCATGCCCATGTGTGTATACCCTTGCATTCATGGCAGGCAACACACACACTCTCACATACCCACACTCACACACATTTTGGTGGAGACATGAATGCACACTTTGCACACATATGTTCACACATGTGCACACACATCTATACAACAAATAAATAATATAAAAGTAAAAACAAAAAGAAGACACGGTGTAGTGGAAGGCACAGCTCAATTTACTAGGAATGGACTGAGCCCCCGCCCCTCCTCCAGGTTAGCTACCATGCCTTCGCGTGCCATCGACGTGTGTCAGCTGTGTGACTGGAAAAGTGATTTTCCAATAGTTAAGAAAAAAAAAAAAAACAGAAGTTCTGAGCAAATGAATTGGAAAGGCAGTTCTAAAAAGGAGAAGTATAAATGGCCAGAGGACACATGAAAAAGTTTCAATATCTTTATTTAGCTACCAGGGAACTGAAAATCCAAACAGTGAGTTTCCATCCCAATCTTTTATTCATTTATTTTCTTATTTTTATTGAGGTACACATTTTTTCCACTCCTCTTCCCCCCTCCCCTTTCCCTTTCCACCCTTCCCCTGCCCCTGATGCTCCCAATTTACTCAGGAACTTTGAGTTAAGGCCCGGCGAGATGCCTCAGGGGATAAAAGCACTTGACACTGAACCTGATATCTGACTTCAATAACCAGGACCCTCTCAGTGGGAGGAGAAAACTGACCTCTGTAGGTTGTCCTCTGACCTCCATATGTGCACGGTGGCAGGTTCATACACACACACACACACACACACACACACACACTCATACATATGCATGTGAAAAATATTTTAAATATATTGCTTGTAAAACTTTTACATACACAGTTAAAAAAAAAAAAGACACTTCTGCTTCCCTCAGGAGGAATACTTGATCCATTAGCTAAAATCTAAAAACACGTAAGAGATGGAAACAAGCACCCATGAAAAGTTAAGATGAAAGCTGACTGGAAGATATGCACCCATTGTTCCAGTAGATGGGAGGCTGAGCATAAGTTCACAGCCAACCTGGACTATATAGTGAGAGTCTGTCTAAAGTAAAGCTAATACGAATAAAGCTAACTCACAGTTACAGTAAATAAAAGAAACATAATTACCTACTAGAAACAAACACATGGGGGAGGAGCTGGCTCCAGTTAAGAGCACAGGCTACTCTTGCAAAAGACCCAGGGTTCCCAGCACCCATATGCGGTGGTTCACAGTTGCCTGTAACTCTGGCTCCAAGGGTATTTGATGTCCTCTTCTGGCCCCTAAAGGCCACACACACATAAAAATTAAGTTAAACTAAAATCTTTGAGAAACACTATTAGCGTGTTCCTTCGGGGAAACTTGACTACGACTTGGGCAGAGATGACAGAGTCAGGCTGGAAATGAAGAGCCAAGTATAAATGGCGAATAAGATTGACAGCGATCTTTTCAAAGGAAGGATTTTCTTTGCTTAAAGATTATGTCTCATTGTATTTTATTCCTATTCTATTAATTCCATCCCACTGTTACCAGAATGGCTCTCACTAGGCAAATAACATGGGGCTGGAGAGAAGGCTCAGAGGTTAACAGTTCTTCCTGCTCTTCAGGAGGACCCCAGTTCTGTTCCCAGTGCCCACTTCAGGCAGCTCACAACCTTCCATCATTTCAGTTCCAGGGGATCCGATGTCCTTTTCCAGCTTCTACAGGTACCACGCACACACAGGATGCACCTGTGTGAATGTAGTCCAAACACCCACACACATAAAGCACTTGAACCAAATTTTACAAATCCTTTAAGTGCACATTATACATAGAGGGTTTCATTTGG